AGCACGTCAAGTATTAAAAACCATTTGTCTCCATTCACTCCTATCAAACACGCTCCGCATGCCTGCTGGAAGTCCAAGCCCCTCGCACACAAAACCTCCTTTACCCCCTCCCTCCAACCTTTCCTAGGCCGACCCCTACCCCGCCTTCCTTCCACTACAGACTGATACACTCTTGAAGTCATTCTGTTTCGCTCCATTCTCTCTACATGTCCGAACCACCTCAACAACCCTTCCTCAGCCCTGTGGACAACAGTTTTGGTAATCCCGCACCTCCTCCTAACTTCCAAACTACGAATTCTCTGCATTATATTCACACCACACATTGCCCTCAGACATGACATCTCCACTGCCTCCAGCCTTCTCCTCGCTGCAACATTCATCACCCATGCTTCACACCCATATAAGAGCGTTGGTAAAACTATACTCTCATACATTCCCCTCTTTGCCTCCAAGGACAAAGTTCTTCGTCTCCACAGACTCCTAAGTGCACCACTCACTCTTTTTCCCTCATCAATTCTATGATTCACCTCATCTTTCATAGACCCATCTGCTGACACGTCCACTCCCAAATATCTGAATACGTTCACCTCCTCCATACTCTCTCCCTCCAATCTGATATTCAATCTTTCATCACCTAATCTTTTTGTTATCCTCATAACCTTACTCTTTCCTGTATTCACCTTTAATTTTCTTCTTTTGCACACCCTACCAAATTCATCCACCAATCTCTGCAACTTCTCTTCAGAATCTCCCAAGAGCACAGTGTCATCAGCAAAGAGCAGCTGTGACAACTCCCACTTTGTGTGTGATTCTTTATCTTTTAACTCCACGCCTCTTGCCAAGACCCTCGCATTTACTTCTCTTACAACCCCATCTATAAATATATTAAATAACCACGGTGACATCACACATCCTTGTCTAAGGCCTACTTTTACTGGGAAAAAGTTTCCCTCTTTCCTACATACTCTAACTTGAGCCTCACTATCCTCGTAAAAACTCTTCACTGCTTTCAGTAACCTACCTCCTACACCATACACTTGCAACATCTGCCACATTGCCCCCCTATCCACCCTGTCATACGCCTTTTCCAAATCCATAAATGCCACAAAGACCTCTTTAGCCTTATCTAAATACTGTTCACTTATATGTTTCACTGTAAACACCTGGTCCACACACCCCCTACCTTTCCTAAAGCCTCCTTGTTCATCTGCTATCCTATTTTCCGTCTTACTCTTAATTCTTTCAATTATAACTCTACCATACACTTTACCAGGTATACTCAACAGACTTATCCCCCTATAATTTTTGCACTCTCTTTTATCCCCTTTGCCTTTATACAAAGGAACTATGCATGCTCTCTGCCAATCCCTAGGTACCTTACCCTCTTCCATACATTTATTAAATAATTGCACCAACCACTCCAAAACTATATCCCCACCTGCTTTTAACATTTCTATCTTTATCCCATCAATCCCAGCTGCCTTACCCCCTTTCATTTTACCTACTGCCTCACGAACTTCCCCCACACTCACAACTGGCTCTTCCTCACTCCTACAAGATGTTATTCCTCCTTGTCCTATACACGAAATCACAGCTTCCCTATCTTCATCAATATTTAACAATTCCTCAAAATATTCCCTCCATCTTCCCAATACCTCTAACTCTCCATTTAATAACTCTCCTCTCCTATTTTTAACTGACAAATCCATTTGTTCTCTAGGCTTTCTTAACTTGTTAATCTCACTCCAAAACTTTTTCTTATTTTCAACAAAATTTTGTTGATAACATCTCACCCACTCTCTCATTTGCTCTTTTTTTACATTGCTTCACCACTCTCTTAACCTCTCTCTTTTTCTCCATATACTCTTCCCTCCTTGCATCACTTCTACTTTGTAAAAAACTTCTCATATGCTAACTTTTTCTCCCTTACTACTCTCTTTACATCATCATTCCACCAATCGCTCCTCTTCCCTCCTGCACCCACTTTCCTGTAACCACAAACTTCTGCTGAACACTCTAACACTACATTTTTAAACCTACCCCATACCTCTTCAAACCCATTGCCTATGCTCTCATTAGCCCATCTATCCTCCAATAGCTGTTTATATCTTACCCTAACTGCCTCCTCTTTTAGTTTATAAACCTTCACCTCTCTCTTCCCTGATGCTTCTATTCTCCTTGTATCCCATCTACCTTTTACTCTCAGTGTAGCTACAACTAGAAAGTGATCTGAAATATCTGTGGCCCCTCTATAAACATGTACATCCTGAAGTCTACTCAACAGTCTTTTATCTACCAATACATAATCCAACAAACTACTGTCATTTCGCCCTACATCATATCTTGTATACTTATTTTATCCTCTTTTTCTTAAAATATGTATTACCTATAACTAAACCCCTTTCTATACAAAGTTCAATCAAAGGGCTCCCATTATCATTACACCTGGCACCCCAAACTTACCTACCACACCCTCTCTAAAAGTTTCTCCTACTTTAGCATTCAGGTCCCCTACCACAATTACTCTCTCACTTGGTTCAAAGGCTCCTATACATTCACTTAACATCTCCCAAAATCTCTCTCTCTCCTCTGCATTCCTCTCTTCTCCAGGTGCATACACGCTTATTATGACCCACTTCTTGCATCCAACCTTTACTTTAATCCACATAATTCTTGAATTTACACATTCATATTCTCTTTTCTCCTTCCATAACTGATCATTTAACATTACTGCTACCCCTTCCTTTGCTCTAACTCTCTCAGATACTCCAGATTTAATCCCATTTATTTCCCCCCACTGAAACTCTCCTACCCCCTTCAGCTTTGTTTCGCTTAGGGCCAGGACATCCAACTTCTTTTCATTCATAACATCAGCAATCATCTGTTTCTTGTCATCCGCACTACATCCACGCACATTTAAGCATCCCAGTTTTATAAAGTTTTTCTTCTTCTCTTTTTTAGTAAATGTCTACAGGAGAAGGGGTTACTAGCCCATTGCTCCCGGCATTTTAGTCGCCTCATACGACACGCATGGCTTACGGAGGAAAGATTCTTTTCCACTTCCCCATGGACACTAGAAGAAATAAAGAAGAACAAGAGCTATTTAGAAAAAGGAGAAAAACCTAGATGTATGTATATATATATGCATGTGCGTGTCTGTGAAGTGTGACCAAAGTGTAAGTAGGAGTAGCAAGATATCCCTGTTATCTAGTATGTTTATGAGACAGAAAAAGAAACCAGCAATCCTACCATCATGCAAAACAGTTACAGGTTTTTGTTTCACAGTCATCTGGCAGGATGGTAGTACTTCCCTGGGTGGTTGCTGTCTACCAACCTACTACTACTATTATTCTTATAAACCTCCACATTGACTACCTCGCATTAGTAATAATGTTAAATAAAGATTTTAATAAAAGTTAACCACTCTTAATTAGATTTAAGTAGTTATCATGTACTAGGATCAGTATGCCCAAAATGCCCCAGCATCATAATGGCTTTCTTTGTACTTAGCAAACCCAAATTGTAATTACACATTGTAGCCTTTACAAAAAAATAAATTCACTATTTTTATCTTTTCCCCAGGATGACAACTGCAACAGTCAACTAACACCCAGGTACTTACTTACTATTAGGTGAACCAGGGCAGCAGGTGTAAGGAAACATGACCAAAGTTTCCACCTGTGCCAGGGATCGAACCACTGACCCTCAGTATGCGAGCCGAGTGTGCTAACAACCGAGCCACAGGACACCCACATATTTCCCCTATCTCTTACATAATCTAACCTGAGATTCTCTCTTAACATCTTCCTCTGTAAGACATGTGTGCTGTAAGAGGCGACTAAAATGCCGGGAGCAAGGGGCTAGTAACCCCTTCTCCTGTGCAAGTTACTAAACTTAAAAAGAGAAACTTGTTTTTCTTTTTGGGCCACCCTGCCTCAGTGGGATACGGCTGGTTTGTTGAAATAAAGAAAAGATATTAAATTTTTCTTTTTCAACACACCGGCTGTCTCCCACTGAGGCAAAAACCAGCTACAACGATTCCCTATCCACTTCACTGTATACCTTATCCAAATCTAAAAGTGCAACAAACAGCTTTCTTTCCTTCCTTATCTAGGCATTGCTCCTACTTGTCCACTCAGGCCCTTCCCTCCTAGCAAATACCATTCCTCCCTGCTACTGTAACCACGTCAAACTTACTTCCTGCCTAACTCACTCTAGCTCTACTCCCACAAAATAATCCTATTCTTCCCTGCCCCATGCATGAAATCTAATTCATTATCTCCATGCAATAACTCATCAAAATATTCTACGATATGAGAAACCTCTAATTCCTTTTCCAGCATCCCACATGTCAGCCATTTCCCACTGAGGCACAGTGACCCAAAAAAGAAAGAAACACTTTCACCATCATTCACACATAATCAATGTCTTTGCAGAGGAGCTCAGATATGACAGTTTAGATGTCACTCCAAACAGCTAATATCCCGAACCCCTCCTTTAAAGTGCAGGCATTGTACTTCCCACCTCCAGGACTCAAGTCTGGCTAATCAGTTTCCCTGAATCCCTTCACAAAATAATACCCTGTTCACACTCCAACAGCTTGTTAGGTCCCAAAAGTCATACATCTCCATTCGCCAGATCAGTATATCACTATGACAGATCATCTACCTTTAGCTTTTAAATTACTTAAAAGTAATTATTTAAAAATAATTTAGTTACATGAGATTTTCCCTGCAATTGGAAGGCTTTCAGCTACAGGAATATTTCATTAGGTCCAAATCTAGGCATAAAATGCAGTATATGAAAGCCTTAACAACAACTAAGAATAGTGGACTCGTGAAACTGGTTCCAAAATTGTTTCTGCTTTTAATTTCTGTATAGAACAGACCAGAGTGAAAGTAAAGTACCTGATTTAATAATGTGGGATCAGAATTATTATAATATGGGGGAAGCATTAAACTACCAGTTATTGGGTCAGAAGAGCAATTACCATTACCAACCTGTGGTGTGTCGGCACCTCCACTCAAGTGAAGTTTATTCATTAAGAAATTCTGAAGCATACTCATGAATCCCTCCTTGTCTTCCTCTCCCTCACTCCCATCATAGTCCTCATCCTCATAATCCTCATCACTGTATTCTTCATCACTATCTTCATCATTTAAGTCCTGCCTTGCACTTGGATCTCGCATTCCCCCAATAGCACCCTCACATTCCCCTGATGTTGCTGAAATAGTAATAAAATTTTAGTTCATCAGAAGCTTAATTAGACACTTCTTTTATAGCAATACACTACAGTATACAAATCATTTGTTGCCGAGTCCAATTATTACATTAACTTGTTTCTGTTTTAAGAAAATCCGGTCTTTGGAATTTGGACACTGCTGATAACTGACAGTGCATTCTCAAAGGAAACACTCACACTAATGATTAGTCATCTATACAATCTTTCCGTGTGTCTGGCTGGGCCACAACTTTAATGATTCACAGCTACCAGAACATTAGCAGAAAACATAACAATCAGTAACTCTGACAGTGCAACACCTGCTAGGAGAAAGTTTCACTACAGAAACTTGTGCACAACTGGAAATAATAGACAATTCCTCATTGCAAATTGTACATCTTTTCCACTTGTCAGATTTGAGCTATTTGCCTTCATTCTGCACAAGTATCTCCAAGAATGTTGAGGTCACGGTGGGAAGTACTCTATCTGCTCTTTCTATATTTAGCAATAAAATTTCTTTCCCAGTGAATGAAAACTGCTAACTTTATGGTGGACGCAGCCATCCCCTCTCTGGCCATTTTATCAAAATTTAAAAATATATACCATTAGATTATAAGTACAGTACAGCATAAATATACCATACACATTTATTACATCTAAAATACACTAATCTAATAGTAAAATTTTGTACTAAATCTTTGAAACTCTTAAGAAAAATGTTATTTTAAAGATGTTTTATTCCTACTCTCAATTTTTATAAATTTAACACCCAGAAAGAATGGTTAGGACAAACACCTCTTCACGCATCTTGTTAAACAAACACAGCAAATCCAATATATTCACCTGCACTTCCATCTTTCTTTTCTGCAGAAGCAGAAGTGCTCTCTGCTTGGGCTTCTGGAACCTTGGGGGTTTCCTTATCAGTTGGCTGCTCTGGCATCTTGCTTGTTTCACAGTCAGCCATTGTTACACACCTTCAGAGACGAGTCTTGCTTCCTTGTTGATCTTATGGCAATTGGCAGCGGGTTGGCCCTTCACCAAATGCTGGTAAGAAAAATAAAATAAATTTTGATGTGTGGAAAGTATCATCTTTTGTTGAAACTAGGAGCTAAAATGTATGGAGATCATTCGCAGAGCATACAAGTTGTGGAGATTTTCCTGTCGAACACAGAGACCTTATGTTTGAGGAAAATCCCTAACCCCACAAGGTAGCCTCTCTAAGAAACAAGAAAAACTGTTGCTTATGACAGAGGGTAGACCTTGGACATAAATGTTAAGGAGAACCAAACACCAATAAATTATATTATTTACTGTTGCTTGTAGCTAGTAGGTTGGTAGACAGCAACCCCCCAGGGAGGTACTACCGTCTTGCCAAGTGAGTGTAAAACAAAAGCCTGTAATTGTTTTACATGATGGTAGGATTGCTGGTGTCTTTTGTCTGTCTCATAAATATGCAAGATTTCAGGTACATCTTGCTACTTCTACTTACACTTAGGTCACACTACACATACATGTACAAGCATATATATACATACCCCTCTGGGTTTTCTTTTACAGTGGACCCCCGGTTAACGATTTTAATCCGTGCAAGAGGGCTCATCGTTATGCGAAATAATCGTTATGCGAATGAATTTTCCCCATAAGAAATAATGGAAATAAAATTAATCCGTGCAAGACGCCCAAAAGTATGAAAAAATTTTTTTTTTACCACATGAAATGTTAATTTTAATACACACAAACTGAAAAAGGCATGCACAATTAAATGACACTTACTTTTATTGAAGATCTGGTGATGATTGATGGGATGGGAGGAGGGGAAAGCATTATCTTCTTACTGTTTAGAAGGGGAATCCCCTTCCATTAGGACTTGAGGTAGCAAGTCCTTTTCTGGGGTTACTTCCCTTCTTCTTTTAATGCCACTAGGACCAGCTTGAGAGTCACTGGACCTCTGTCGCACAACAAATCTGTCCATAGAGCTCTGTACCTCCCGTTCCTTCAAGACTTTCCTAAAATGGGCCATAACATTGTCATTGAAATAGTCACCAGCACGGCTTGCAACAGCTGTGTCAGGGTGATTTTCATCTATAAAGGTTTGCAGTTCAACCCACTGTGCACACATTTCCTTAATCTTTGAAGTAGGCACAATGGATTCCACAACTGGCATAGGCTTCTCAGGGTTAGCCCAAACCCTTCAAAATCTTTCTTAATTTCCATACTAATTCTCACCCTTTTTACCACAGGGTTGGCACTAGAAGCTTTCTTGGGGCCCATGGTCACTTATTTTCCAGAAACAGCACCGAAAACACTGTAATAATACGAAATATTCCGAGTGTATGCTTGGATGTTACCGTGGAGGCTGGCTGGTAAACAATGGGACGGCCGGCACATGTGAGGGCACATTGGACGCGTCTCGGACGAAAATCGGTAAGCGGGTTTTTAATCGGTATGCGCGGCAAAAATTTTGCGATAAAAGTAATCGGTATGCGGAAAAATCGCTATGTGATGCCATCGTTATGCGGGGGTCCACTGTATTTTCTTTCTAGTTCGTCTTGTTTATTTCCTCTTATCTCCATGGGGAAGTGGAACAGAATTCTTCCTCCGTAAGCCATGCGTGTCGTAAGAGGTGACTAAAATGCCAGGAGCAAGGGGATAGTAACCCCTTCTCCTGTATATATTACTAAATGTAAAAGGAGAAACTTTCGTTTTTCCTTTTGGGCCACCCCGCCTCGGTGGGATACGGCCGGTGTGTTGAAAGAAAGAAAGGTTTACTGTTGCTATTGTACTTATGGGGGATGTCCTTAACCTATATGGACCATACAGTGCCTGGGAAAATGGAAGGTTATCAGGTCCAATTCAAGGAATGGGAGGGCATATTCAATTCATTGGATCAAGAGCCCCTCTTGAGCATCAAGGAAACTCCCTTAAGGGATAGTAAAAAAACATTTCAAGCTAAAAGCAGAAAATTTTATAATTATAGTAGTTATATGATGTAAATTTAAATACGAGAGCAATGGTTAACTTTTGGGGATAAATCGGGGGTCGTATGTATAGTAGGGCCCCGCTTTACGGCGTTTCGCCTTACGATGTTCCACTAATACAGACATTCAAATTATGACCAAAACTCTATATTCCCCCCCCCACCTGACTTCCTAATATGGTCACCCTGGGCCACCCAGTTTGTTTACATTCTCTGTGAGCATGACTCTTCATTATGTCTAATACCGTACCAGAGGGGTTCAAGGAGGCCAGAGTTACTCCTATCCGCAAGAAAAATAGTAGGTCTCATGTAAGCAACTATAGGTCTGTTAGTATACTCAGTATAATATCCAAAATTCTAGAGAGGACGGTGTACTGTCAAGTAGTTAAGTACCTTAATGACAACAACATTCTCCATAGCTATCAATCAGGCTTTAGAAGATCTTACTCAACCGACACCTCCCTAATTAATCTGATGGATTACATGAGAACTGAAATGTCAATGGGGAACCTCATAGGTATAGTAACCTTAGACCTGCAAAAGGCCTTTGATACTGTCAACCACAATATATTATGTAAGAAACTTCAAACTATTGGTATAGGTTCTGTAGACTAGTTTAAGTCCTACCTTAGCAATAGGAGACAAACTGTCAAAATCAACAAAATGGAATCAGAACCCCTGCTAATAGCATGTGGAGTTCCCCAAGGTAGTATTCTGGGTCCCTTATTATTCCTATGCTATGTTAACGACATGCCTATCAGTGTCAAGTGCAAACTCCTACTGTATGCAGATGGCAGTGCTCTGTTAGTGTCAGGTAAAGACCCACAAGATATAGCTAATGTATTAACACTGGAACTGGAGTCCTGCAGCAAATGGTTAGTAGACAACAAACTATCATTACACCTCGGGAAAACTGAAGCCATTCTCTTTGGTACGAAACATAAACTGAGAAGGGTAAATAATTTTAATGTCCAGTGTAATGGGGAGCCCATCACTTCAGTTTCCTCAGTAAAATATCTGGGAATCCCCTTTGACCCATGCATGTCAGGAGAATTGATAGGGAACAGTGTAGTAAAGAAAGCAAATGCCAGACTGAAATTCCTCTACAGACAAGCACAGTGTCTACCTACTGAGGCTCGCAGGACCCTATGTCTAGCCCTTATACAGTGTCATATGGATTACGTTTGCTCTTCATGGTACTCTGCCTTTGAGAAAAAAACTGAAAGATAGACTGCAAATCACCCAGAACAAAATGGTAAGATTCATCCTGGACCTGGGTCCAAGAGAGTATGTAGGCCAGGATGAATTACAGCAGTTTGATATGCTGAATGTTGAAGACAGAGTAAAACAATTGAAGCTAAATCATGTATTTAAAACTACTCACAAACAGTGTCCAGAATATCTTGCTGCCAATTTTGTCAAGGTTGGGAACCAAAGCAATCATAGTACTAGGGGGAGAGAGCACAACTTTGTAGTACCCACAGTCAGTGGCCAGGCTTCAAACACCTTTTATTGTACAGCAATAAAAGAATGGAACACACTGCCTGCACATGTCAAAGCCAGTCATAGCATGAGCCAGTTCAAGAAGAGAGCCAAAAGGTGTCTGATGAATGTAGCTACAGGAAGGGAGGGGAATGATTTTTTATTTTTTTAGCTAACACACATGTAATTTTACCTTATTCCTAGTAATGACTCTCGTATTGTAGATAGTCTTAATGACCCTCATGTAGTAGATAGTCTTAATAGTATGATAATATGTTATCTCCATTAAAGAATAATAAGAAGATATCACCTTTATTTTATAATAATAAGGTAAAAGGACCCTAATGGAAATAAGTCACTTTGACTTTTTGGGTTATCCTACGTACTTTACACATATACTATGTATGATAATCTATATAACTGTATTTGTGTATACCTGAATAAACTGACTTACTTATTCCAAAATTCAAGTGTTTTGAAGTTATTTCATATTTTATATATACTCTGATAATTATATTTATATGTACCTGTACCTAAATAAACTTACTTTCTTTCCAAGGAGTGAAAATCATTAATCTTTTATATTATAAACAAAAACCATGGTATTTATTCCATGGGAAAAACTGTTATGTTAATTCCTTTTCTATTAAGTGGTGTGTGCAATGGAGACAGTCACTTTGACTTTATTTTTGGGTTATCCTGGGTAATTTACACATATGTTACTATGTATGATAACTGTACTTGTGTGAACCTGTACCTAAATAAATTTACTCACTCACTATATTTGTTTTGGAAAAGCAGGAAAAATGCTTTATTATGACCAGTAAATTTAATTTTGTAACCCAATCAAACAAAATCTAGCCTAACCTACTCCAGCCATAAGGTTCTTATTTACATAGGGTAACACTTAAGTTTGGTTATATTAAAAAGTATAAAGATTTCCTATGCATAACACTTAATACAGGAGAATTTACATAATAAAGACACATCCAGGAACAAAATACATATTGACCAAATCAAGATTTCATGCTGCTTAGCTTGCAAGAAACTGTGACCCAATCCCCACACGAGTGTCCAGCGGAACTTTTCTAGGGGCTAAAAAGCAAGGATTTCCTGGGGACAAGGAGAGACAAGGGGAACAAGCACATCATTAATATGGTTGGTTTACCTCTGACATCTTAATGGGGTAACCAAGATCTTGCTTCCCAGCAGACACCAAATGCATCCTGACATTATCTGCTGCAGCCCCTACCCTAGCCTAACCTTACCTCGTAAAATATTTAATTTAGAATCAAAATATTTACTGGGCCTGGCTTAAAGCTGTATATGCCTGATTACTGGGGATTTTTTTTTATCAACACTGGACAACTTTCAATACTTGTACAGTCTCCTCTGTGGAGAAGCATTCTGGCTTAAATCTTCTACATATGAAACAAAATTAATATTTGTTCTCCCAGTACACAGCACTGCCATGAACAATTCTTCACATTCATTTAATATATAATAAGTGTGAACCACTCAGTGAACAACAATCTCTGTCTTTGTTCACACTTTATGATATCAAAACTTCACTATTTTATGAGTAAAATAATACATAAAACTTTTACCAACACGTCCTTAATAGAACAAAACAAAACAAAACTGAGTTGAATGTACTGGTCTCCTGTGAGTATAATTAACGAGATTCAGAAATAAACTTTCACCCACAGGGGGGGGAAACAACAAAAAAAAAGTCTACAATAACCACGTTTCATCACAGTTGTTGTTTTTACACCCTAAACACCACAATACACAAAAGAAAACCTAAAACAAGTCACCTGAAAGAAGACAGGGGATTTTCTCCTCGTGGAGATAGGTGAGACAGCAAGCAGCTTGCTCGGTATCCTTGACAAAGAGGAATTTCCCCCCTGGTACCGCCCAGATTCCGGCACTTCCTTAATTACCTTATTTCGAGGCGGTGCCGCCGTGACAGTCCGTTGAACAGCGCCGTTTAGCGTCTCTAAAGTGGGTAGTTAGGCGTGAACGCTGCCAACTGGTGATTAGACAGAGCAAGAGCAGCAGCCGGTGAGAAGACAAGTGAGATACCAGGAATCACCTGAGGGAGGATCTTGTTATTATTGTTGTTGCCAAACTTGGGCGCTTACACTCACAAGACAATCTTACTATGAAGAAAACCATACCATAATTCACGATGCGCGTCGTCTTCTAAATGTATCTTACAGTATATTTACTATTTAATTCACAATCGCTTGATCAGAGCAACAAACTACAGATTATGAAACCAACTTACAGAATAATGAAATGCCACGTAGTGGGAAGAGAGACCACATCGGCTGGGAAAACTTTACACGGACTGGATAAATATCTTGTGGGAATGGAAAACACATTATAAGCGTGGCTGGGGGACCCGTAGCTCAGTGGTAGCAGCACTCTTCTTATCCCCACACACGTGCCCACAGGGTTCCGGGTTCGGTTCTCTAGTGACATATATATATATATATATATATATATATATATATATATATATATATATGGAAAATATTCCACACACATTTGCTGCCTTTGTTCACCAAGCAAGATGGATCATGGCCATCGAAGTAGCATTTCTGTCTCTCGAGTAGTAGACAAAGGATAGAGCCTCCACCACTCCATGCGTTGATAAAAAAAAAGATCCCACACAGGTTTAGGGCTTACCCATATATATATGTCATGCCGAATAGGTAAAACTGGTCAAATAGCAAGAACTCATTTAAAATTAAGTCCTTTCTAAAATTTTCTCTTATATGTTTAAAGATATATTCGTTGTTTCGTTTATGTTCATGAAAAAATAATAATTTTGTACCAAGAGAACCTTAGAAAACTTACCTAACCTTATTATAACAAGCGCAATTTAATTTAGCCTAATCCAACTAAATATATTTTAGGTAAGTTTACAATAATTTAATAATAAACAAACACAGTAAAATATGTTTTTTTTCGTTAGGTTCAGAATTATTTTTGCGAAATTATGCAATTATGCATACACAAATTTTCGCTTGCCTTACTCGGCAAGAAGAGCGTTGCTATTTAAGGCAAAATCGAAAGTTTTTTCCTATCCGCCATGACATACACACACACACACACACACACACACATATATATATATATATATTATATATATATATATATATATATAATATATATATATATATATATATATACAATGCAGAAACAGGTGGGTGTATACAGAGAAATATCAGTCAGCAGGGTTCGAACCCACGTCAGGGGCGTGGCGCCAGTGACGCTCAAGACCACTCGGCCACAGATACCTGGAATATACCTGGAGAGGGTTTTTGGGGGTCAACGCCCTCACGGCTCGGTCTGAGACCAGGCCTCGTGGTGGATCAGGGTCTGATCAACCAGGCTGTTACTGTTGGCCGCACTCACACTGACGTACGAACCACAGCCCGGCTGGTCAGGTACTGACTTTAGGTGCCTATCCAGTGCCTTCTTGAAGACAGCCAGGGATCTATTGGTAATCTCCATTATGTATGCTTGGAGGCAGTTGAACAGTCTTGGGCCCCTGACGCTTATTGTGTTGTCTCTCAGTGTACTCGTGTCGTCCCTGCTTTTCATTGGGGAAATGTTACATCTCCTGCCTAGTCTTTTGCTTTCATAGGGAGTGACTTTCGTGTGCAAGTTTGGTACTAATCCCTTTAGAATTTTCCAAGGGTATATTAACATGTATCTCTCTCGCCTGCATTCCAGGGAATACAAATCAAGGGACTTCAAACGTTCCCAGTAATTTAGGTGCTTTATCATACTTATGTGTGCCATGAAATTTCTTTATACACTCTCCAGGTCAGCAGTTTCTCCAGCCTTGAAGGAGGCAGTTAGTGTACAGAAGTATTCCAGCCTAGAGAGAACAAGCGATTTGAAGAGAATCATCATGGGCTTGGCATCCCCTAGTTTTGAAGGTTCTCATTATCCATCCTATCATTTTTCCTAGCAGATGCGATAAATATATTGCTGTGGTCTTTGAAGGTGAGATCCTCTGACATTATCACTCTCAGGTCTTTCACGTTACTTTTTTGCTCTATTGTATGGTTAGAATTTGTTGTATACCCTGATGCAGTTTTAATTTCCTCACGTTTTCCATATCTTAGTTGAAATTTCTTTTCACTGAACTTCATATGGTTTTGAGTGGCCCATTTAAAGATGTGGTTGATGTCTGCTCGGAGTCTTGCGGCGTCTTCGATGGAGGACACTGTCCCATCTCGCCTAAGAAGGGGCCCAATACTGGATGTTGTTTTTCCCCTAGATTTGGCATATGAGAAAAGTTTTTTTTTTCACTTTCCTTTATGGCCTTTAGTTCTTCCTGCGATTCTTGTCTCCTGTAAGATTCCTTCAGCTTAAGTTTGAAATTTGCTATTTCATTGACCAGTGCCTCCCTTTGTATTTCAGATATATTGGCCCCACTCAGCAGCTCTGTGATTCTTTGCCTTCATCTGTATAGGGAGCATCTCTCTCTTTCTAGTTTACATCTCTTTCTTTTTCTCAATGGAATGTGCCTTGAGCAGCTTTCAAGAACCACAGAGTTAATTTTTTCTAAGCAAAGGTTCATATCCGTGTTGTTTAGGATATCTTCTCAGCTTGTTTCATTTAAGACATGGTTGACTTGTTCCCATTATATGTTTTTGTTACTGAAGTTGAATTTCGTGAAGACACCCTCATGACTGATCACATTTTGCTTGTCAGAAGCCCTGTACATACATGTCTGTACCTCTATTATGTTGTGACTTGAGTGTATTGTTTTTTTATACGGTTATATTACGTTATCAGATCGTCGTTGTTAGTGAAGATGAGGTCCAGTATATTATCTAGTCGTGTAGGCTCTAATATTTGCTGGGTTAAGGTGAATATGGTGCAGAGATTTAATAGTTTGTGTGTGTGTGTGAATTTTCATCTGAGCTGCCTCCTGGGGTGATCTCTGCTAAAATATTATTTGTTACACTCCTCCATTTTAGGAGTCTCAAGTTGAAATCTCCCAGTAGTAACATGTTTGGGGCAGGGGTTGGGAGATTTTCCAAAAGCTGGGCAGCCATGTTCACAAGCCGTGTTTTCTTCCCAGCCTGGGCACACCAGTAGGCCTCAAGCATTGTTTCAAGCTATTTCATTTTCCTTCTGTATGTTCTGACCTTACAAGCGATTTTTATATCAATGCACCATGCAGAAACAGGCGGGTATATACAGAGACAGATCGCAGTCAGCAGGATTCGAACCCACATCAGAGGCGTCTGGCAAGGTTCCCCTAGTGATGCTCTACACCAATCGGCCACAGATACCTCAAAAGTTGGGCAGCCTTGTTTACAAGTCATGTTTCTTTTATCCTGCTGACTGCGATCTTTCTCATTACATATACCCGCCTGCATAGTGCATTGATATAAAAATCGCTTGTGAGGCCAGAACATATAAGAGGAGAATGAAATAGCTTGAAACCGTACTTGAGGCTCACTGGTGTGTCCGGGCTGGGAAGAAACATGGCTGGCAAATCAGGCTGCCCAGCTTTTGAGGCATCTGTAGCCGAGGGGTAGTAGAGAGCAGGGCTACTCAACTTCTATTAGCAAAGGTCCACTTGAATAAGAACCATTGTATGCAAAGGTCCGGATACATTTTTTACATAATGTTTCATTATTAAGAAAAAAAAAAGCGTTTCATATTACTGCTCTTCACTAAGGTAATTGTTTGACTACATACGAGGCAAAACGTCTCAGAACTGCTTGTGGGAAGAATGAAAACATAACTGCTGTATCCATTCTTCCTTGAAGGAACGATTTTCATTATCAAACTTTCTTCTTTTTGAACATGCCATGTCTCCTTTAAAAATATATGACTAGTTTAGTTAAACAAATCATTTGATATAGAAATAAATATCTGAAGCATTAAAAAACTAGAAGTCATATTTACACTGTAGAATAATAACAAAGTTGCATCAGGGTGGCCAGACTTCCCAGCCCATATACGGCCAAACACTTTTTCCAAAATGTCAAAAAAGTCAACTTCATTGTACAAGTGATAATTACCAATATGAATTACCATTGAATGGAAGAAAATATCACTATTTAGCTATGCTAAAATACTGTATTACATTTAAGTCGAGACACATGGGCAAGTCTCCTTACACTCACCTACAGTAAAAGGGTACCTGGGTGTTAGTCGACTGTTGTGGGTCGCATCCTGGGGGATGGTCAGATACCTACTCTGAGGAACTCAAATGTCTCTCAAATGACCTAATGTCTCACCCCGAGGAGATAAAATATGCCACTGAACTCAGTGTATACATTCCATTCAGAGATAATAATGTATTAATCCCGCTCTTGTGTACCACCTGATGCTGAACCTGGTAACACCTGTTATTTAACTAAGCTTCTCCTGAAGCTCGCGGTCCAACTACAACACTGAAGCTCGCGGTCCAACTACAACACTGAAGCTCGCGGTCCAACTACAACACTAAAGCCCGCGGTCCAACTACAACACTGAAGCTCGCGGTCCAACTACAACACTGAAGCCCGCGGTCCAACTACAACACTAAATCCTGCGGTCCAACTACAACACTGAAGCCTGCGGTCCAACTACAACACTGAAGCTCGCGGTCCAACTACAACACTAAAGCCCGCGGTCCAACTACAACACTAAAGCCTGCGGTCCAACTACAACACTGAAGCCTGCGGTCCAACTACAACACTGAAGCTCGCGGTCCAACTACAACACTAAAGCCCGCGGTCCAACTACAACACTGAAGCCCGCGGTCCAACTACAACACTGAAGCCCGCGGTCCAACTACAACACTGAAGCCCCCGGTCCAACTACAACACTGAAGCCCGCGGTCCAACTACAACACTGAAGCCCGCGGTCCAACTACAACACTGAAGCTCGCGATCCAACTACAATACTGAAGCTCGCGGTCCAACTACAACACTGAAGCTCGCGATCCAACTGCAACACTGAAGCTCGCGGTCCAACTACAACACTGAAGCTCGCGGTCCAATTACAACACTGAATCTCGCGGTCCAACTACAACACTGAAGCTCGCGGTCCAACTGCAACACTGAAGCTCGCGGTCCAACTGCAACACTGAAGCTTGCGGTCCA